GTTTATTAAATTACATTGGACAAACCGTATACTTCGGAGCGTCATACATATTGACACAATATCATGATGTCTTTAATTTATGTATCACTGTTTTTTCTATTATGGGAGAAAATACCTGAATACAGAAATCATTATTCATCGAACACTACCAATTCCAGTTAGTAAAGGAATTCGAGTAGTCGAGAACAACAGTAAGTATATAAGGTATTACAATGGAACAAATATTCGATTCAAGCATAAGATGCTCTATAGGATCTAATAAAGTCTAAACAACTTTCAAGGCGAACAAAAATTGATTAAAACCGTTCTAAGAGAAGTAGTTACTTCTGACTACGAGGCTTGGACACTGGTTGTGACGAATGAGGAGCGAAGTCTTTGAAATGAAATGTACGAATATATCTGAATATATGAATCGAATATACTAAATGCAGTGACAGAACAAACTAGACTAAAACAAAATAAAGAAATGAATGAAAAAATTGTAAAAGAAGTAAAATGCAAAAGCCAGGGGTTGGGGCCAAACTAAAACCAATAAAAACGGGAGAACTATGAAAAAATTGTTAAAAAAGTAAACTGCTAAAGCCAGTGACAGGACAGACACAAAATAGACTGCAAGATGATAAGTAATAATATAAAAAAGCTCGTGTGGGTGGAAGTCCCCATCATAAGGATACTACTAGGAGGACCACGTCACCGTCGACTTCGCCGGTCAGACAACATAACCAAAAATCTCAGCACTAATCGAAGCGTGTCGTCAATTCAAAATCCTTCCAGGATTGTGATGTCACGGAATTAATCAGTTAGCTAGTTTGGAAACTAAAGAATAAATAAAAAAGCTGATTCGAATATATGATTTTTTTTTTGTTAGAGCTTTTACTGGGTGCGTGTATAAATGTATAGTATTTTTTTATTTCTGCAGTGTTGAATATGCTCTTAAAAACACTGACTTTAGGTAAACTCGAAGGTTAAATAAATACAAGTTAAACCAAGAAACATTTATTTTACTAGAACTATTAGTTATGCTTTACAAGTAACGATGATTAAAAACGATTAAAATAAGATGTTTTACTAATTATGTCAGTCAGAAGTAGCTTATAATTCAAAATTACACATAATATAATTGTGATTTGTGACTATAAAACTATAGAAGATCATCTGAATTGAAATTTATTTAAGTAACTGTTCAAACACTCCCTGCTACTTTGCTTGTTGGGGTACAGCAAACATTAAACAAAAAGGATTTGAATTAGTCTCAACTTTAAAATACTACTACGGTTAACATTAGAAATTTGCGTAGAAACAGAGTTTTAAAATTGAAGATAACATTTGCGTCCCCTGGTGGTCATTTAGGAAACTCTAAAACAATTTCCATCATTTTCTCTAATACTCTGGCCTTTACTTTTTCCTTTTATCCCTTTTGAAGATTAAATTGTTTCATCAGTTATTGTAACACACAGTCCGGAAATCATAAAAGGTCTGTAGAGGTCTGGCCATGGGGACTTGGAATACTGAATATAAATATATCGGGGTACCAAACGCATTATAATAATAAATAAAATTTCCGCTGTATTTTAAATTGTTATTTAATTTGCATGCACATAAAATTCTGGCAGACTAAAATGTAGTTATAACATGGTGCATGTCGCGTAGTTGTGCAACTGACGGAGACTGTTTACTGTTAAACGTCTCCCAATCACAGAATTCCACTCAGAACATAAACGTAAAATTTATCAGTAATTAGACACACATTAATTTTTGTCCTATAATTTGGTTCGTGTTTTTTGGTCGGTTCTTCATAATAGAATCAGAATCATGAGTCACGTGATCGTTCGGAAAAATTTTGAAGATAACATTTTTACTGACTAATTTTTCAAGACAAGTGACTTGTTGCATTCATCAAACAAATATCAAAGAAATTGGCTAAAAATAATAAACCCTTGTCTGAGTTTAGTCAGCGTGTATTTTTGTTTATTTCAGGAACGCGAGCTTAAAATCATTTCTATGTTATTATGCAGGATTACAAAGCGAAAACATAAATCAACGAAATTTAATCGAATTTCCCCTGTAAAAGGGATGAACTTGGAAGTTATCGATTCGTCGGGAGCGTTTTATTAGATTTCTTTCCGGAACCTGAATTTACTTTATATAATTTTTATTTTATACACGTTTTGAATTACTCTCAAAGAGATTTTATTTTCATTTGGGTATTTTTGCGCATATATGCAATTCGGTAAGGAAACGTGGCAGGAAAAAATTGTGGCGGAACCTCTGTTACTTTGTCGGCATTTTCCGTAAAATACACATTGACCTGTTAAAACATGTTGCCGAAATACGGGAATACTAATAATATGAACAGGGATCGAGTGACAAGCCCTTTTCAACAACTCCAAGTTTGACGAATTGCGTTCAGCTATTCTTAAGTTAATTACATTTCTCGAAAAAACGATATTTAAAATTAAAGAATGCGATTACGTTCACAATTAATTTTCGACATTGGCCACCTTGCAAATAATTTGCATTTAACCTAATAACCCGGGATTAACCTAGTGACAAAACGGCGGTGTTGTTTTTTTTTTAATTCTTCAAAATAAACCATTCAAAGCTCTGAGATCACAGACTTTCATTACCTATATTTGTTCCGTACGAATGACGGCCGTTAAAAAAATGTTGGCAAAAGATATAAATTTGGTTTCCCAAAATGCGAAACGGTCTGTTATTTTTACAGAAAGCGTCTGCCAATAATAACCGCGGGCATGCACGGGAAATTATAAACGAGTACGGAAGCAATATGTAAATTGTTATAGCAAAACATTATACTTGCAATGCCACAGACAGCTGACGTTTTTATGTGACAGATGTTTTAACATCGATGCAAATACTGCATTACGTCTTGACTCAGGGATCGATTTATTTAAATTTGTGGCGCATTAAAGTTTTTCCTCAAAACGTTTTATTCATATTCGACCGCCCTTAGTTTTAATGAAAATTCGCCATAGAGAAAACCCATTCACCGAAGGAAACTATTATGGTAACAATACAAGCCATAGTCGCTTGCGAATTCGTCGGTTGGAGGGCGCGGAAAAGATGTGTCGATAACAGTGAATCCGAACTCAGAAAAGAAAATGGCAGAAAAGTGAGAAAAATTTTCCAATAGAAAAGGAGGGCTAGTAACCCCCCTTACTTGTCCTTCTCTTGCTCATCTGTACAAATGGGTTCTAGTTGTTTTATTTAATGTTTGTAAAAAATAAACTTTATAATATTAATAATAATAATTTATCTAGTTAAAAAACCTCTGAAATAGTGCATGCATGTTGATATACTTTGAAATTCGAAATATTTAAGACTTTTCTAACCTCTTTGATCGGAAAATGCCTTTTTTTTAGTTTTTCAAAAAAGGATTAAAATAGTATTTAGCTAAATGTGTACATTTTACTATTATATTCTATTTTTTCTTCACACTTAACACACTTAACCCAGGTTAAGCGCGGAAAATTATCAACCCTAACGAACTAATTTGGATATGAAATGTTTTCTCTTAAAATTGTATCTCGATATTTCCAATCAGTTTTGTTCTTGAGAAATCGTAAAAGTTACGCTTATTTTAATTATTATTTATTTTTGTAATGTTGCCGATTTTTTAACAACAGTCTGTGCATCTTTTTCTTCTACACACTATTTACAAAACTAAATAAGCAATTGTCGTGTATGGATATGCAAGGGAAAGAGAAAGCTGGAACAATTTATATCCAGCGTATATCTGAAAGCCATTTAGATTGGGAATGTTGGTGTGTTTCCAAGGGAACTCGAAAGAAAACCATGACGGGATTAAACGCCGCAGTTCCCGTTTTCCCGTTGCCTTTAGTTTCACCTCGCCTCCATTATGATGCAAATATCAAGTGAGGATCTGTATTATTAAACACACACGCCAAAATAGAAATTTGACGCGGAATTAATTTAAACGGCAGTCTCATTTCTTGTAATGATTATTGTAATTGGTAGTTCGTTACATGCGATCGCAGCGAATTCTACGTAGTTATTTTTTCTTACTTAAAACGATAACTATCTACTTAAAACTCAAAATGGTAATTACTCGAACAAATAATTTTTTTTTTAATAGAGGAACGGAAAATCTAAGTAACAAGACGTACTATTTTATAGTACACTACATCCATTGTGTTGCCTAAAAAAACCAGCAGGCCAAATATATAAGTAATGACGATACCTATATCTTTCGATACGTCACCACTTCCAGCCTATGCTGTTGAATTGCTTCTACGAGAAATGCAAAAATCGTAAGACACGTGATTAGAATCTCAATCAGATTGAATAGGTTATGAACAGCGTAGTAGTTGGATGACCACCTATTTTAGGAAATCCTAGTTGCAAATGCAATACATAGAATTTTTTTTTCTGATTTTTTCCGATATTATTTACGTACCCATTTATATGGTTAGAAAAAGAATTTCCATATTTATAGTTCATTTTCCATTTTAATGTTAATCTAATACGAAATTAATAAAGAAGTCTTTCTACTATAGAATTTTAAGCTTTGGTGATAGAGAGAGACAAAGGGGCTAGAAAATGTAAAAAGAACAATATCTTTTGTTTCAATAAACAAGGGCACACAAGTCAAAGTATAAATAACATTACAGCAATATAATGTTTAATTTCACTTATAAGTGATTTGCCTTTTGGATATTTTTTAAAATTTTATTTTTATATAATTGAGATGTCGGTAGAATAAAAAACGATTTTCCAAGTGGACGAAACGATGTAAACGATAAAATTCCAACCGTTTAATGCATAATTCACCTCATCGATCGTCCTTTTTGCAGCTGACTGTCGTAAATAACCCCGTTGTTAGAAACCCCCTTTATAGGTATATTATTTAAGCGGGTTATTTTCAGGCCATGGACCTTTTTATTTCGTGATAAGCGATGAAAGATTTCACAAAAAAAAACGCCAATTTTTAAATGCTAAGGCGATAAATTCTTTTGCAGGATGAAGTTTTAGCCATTTCGGAAAAAGTCGTCATCAGAGTGGAAGATTTGATCACATGGATCACTGTTGAGGCTGAATGGACTTGGGGTAGGTTGGCGAATTGTGAGTCCGAAATGAACGAGCTCGAAGCGGATCCGGACAAATGTACAGCTCCCAAGAAACCAATGGGTCATTATTTTAGTCCATCCGAAACGCTACTCGACTTCTCAGACGTCGAGCAAGAACGTCAGCAATTAGGTGAGGGTATTGATAAATTAAATAATTATAATACTAACCTTTATTGAATTTTACTATCAATAATTGCATTTACAACAGGACCTAAACAGACGTTCAAAATAAGACGACAACTAGCAGATAACATGTTCATGATAACTTAAATTTATAATCAAGCACTTTACAATGATTTAGTCTAATTTTTATACACGGTTGCTATATTTTTACCACATACCACATACCACATACCATCTACCAAAAGCGATGTGATAAACTGATAAAGCGAGCAATTGAACAAAATAAATAGGAAAATTTTATAAATCATCAAGAATGTGATTTTGACAAATAGGTTGTTGACGGTTATCGGGTTTATATTTACAAGTGTCCCAATTCATAATATTTTTAATAATGCTTTTTTCTGCTTTTTAAATATATTTGACAAACATATTTTGGGCATTGATAATTTGAACTTGATAATTGATAAATGTTTTTGGGTAGGTGCTTTAAATGAATCTCATCATAATAATTTTTATTTATTCGTTTTTCTTGGCTTAGACTTTAATATTAAGTACTAGCTTTGCAAATGTAGCAATACAAGTTATGCAGGTCATATCACATATCACTTAGAAGTTAAAATCGGGTCCAGTTGATATAAAAATGACATAGGAGTCCTGGTTTGACAATATTATCCTCGATGCTCTTTGGTGCTACTTAAATGGAATTTTTTCCTTGGTCAATATGCCGCATTTGTGAAAATTCTATAGCCGATTCTGTCAACTTAATATTCCTTTCTTGGTATCTTTAAACCGGTCATTATTGGGCACATCAACGTTTAAAGTAAACCATTTTGTAATACTGGCTGGACTTGTAGTCCCATTCCCTTACAAATAGATATGGTTGGAGGGCATATAAGTGTGAATGGAGCAGTTTAATTCTCCCTTCAACATGAATTTATTCCCTCCATCCCTTAATATATAACCAATTAAATAATAAAACGTATTGCTGCTATAAATCGTACGTGTAGCAATTTCCATTATTCGATGCAACATACTTTGGCGTAGCTCGGATGACACTGAACGCTGGAACACAAAGCAAATTTTTTATTTTTAAAGTACGTAAATTCGAATCTCGGATGGAGCTTTAAAAACGTAATCATCTTTTTTTCCCTTTTATTGAAGCGTTATGACTTTGTAGATTTATCTTCAATTCGAACGAATCGGCATAAGTATGTTTTCTCGCATTGCATTTCCGTAATAGTAATTGTAATTTATATTTTACATCCTATTTGGCATACAGCATTAAACTATTCACATTTGTATTAGATCTCTGCATTTACCTTCAATTTCTTAAACATAGTTTTAAGCTTAACAATTCCTACATATAATATGGAAACAATATCCAACTAATAAAAATCAATTTAATAGTTGTACATAAAAATAATGATAATGGATTCTTAATTTACAATACACGATTTTGATTCATGATCATATTCTACACTTAAGTATTTGGTATTTCCAATACGTAAAATAGAGAGGTTAAAAAACGAGTGATGCTAAAAGTTTTTCCTTATTGAGATGCGAAAAAATCAATAATAATAATTCACAACCGGTTTCCATAATACGCTTTTGGACAAGAATTCGTCCGCATTTATGTTGAATTAGAAATACTGGGTGATACAAGGTTAAACGATCAAACCTTTCCTATAAATGTTTGACTTAATTTGCTTCGTTTTCGAGATTTTTGGTTCACAAAAAAAAAATATTACAGGAAATCCTTTTAGCTAATTAGGATATTTTTTTATGTAATTGATATTTATAAGAAAAATATTTGAACAATTAGCGTTTTTTGTATGATTTAGATTAACCAAAACACAATTTTGTCTTTCGAGTTTTTTCACGTCTTGCTTCGATTATGCCGAAAAAATAAAAAACCGTTTCCCTGTATGTCATTGCACCTTTTTAAAAAAGTAAATTAAAATCACGAGATTTATTTTATTTTGTTACTAGTGTTGCACTGAAACTATCATTAAAGGAACGCATTGCTACTACTAATAAGTATGCCAAGTTTTATTAGAAACGAGCAATACGCCTTTGAGTCAAATTAATATAGAAACGACTTTTTGTAAATATTGACATCCTGTATCTCGAAACGAAACAGCCTAGAACACATGTTTAGAGAAAAAAAAGGTCTATTTTTTACACGAACAATCTAATCTAAACTTGCTCCACTGAAATAATAAAATAACTTACTCGGAATTTATTTCGCTCTCACAATCTCTCCAGAACACACATTGACAATTCTGCGTTGGTTTGTGAACATTTCCAGTCAAATTGTCCAGTGCCTCTTCTAAAGAAATACGCTGTTTTGGGGACAAAGCTGTGACCTCCAGAACAATCGCGAATAATACGAATATTGCGAGACCTGTCTTCGGCATTGTTGATGCGTGTGCGATGTCACCTGTAATAGTAACTGAAATTCTGTCACCTGATTAATGTTTCTTATAATGCGTGCTGAAGTGTTGAAACAACACAGCATATACTTACAGAGTGTTTCATCGGCAAATTAGACTGACCGTTTTCCATTTGGAGTATGTATTAATGTTTTATATCCTAATTTCATTAATTCCCAGATAACTAAAGTATTGTGTAATTCCTGTACTAAATGAAATATTGATTTTGCAGGAATAAGCGCTTTCAAAACGTTATTGGCTCGCCCATATTATTGTTATTGTATTTTGCGATTATGGATTTCAATTGTTTTGTTATTGGTTTTGTTACGAAACCCTGATTCATTGTAAAATTAAATATGTCACTGGAAATAATGATCTGGAAATACAATGCACGCAGGTTACGTATACCCCCTCGATATATAGATTGCTTGTTTGCCGCGTAATTCGGGGTCATACTAAATTACTGAATTGGTTTCAGTAAAATACATGCATTTTAAATGATGTTTTTTACCTTCAATTATCATTTTGAATTAATGTCGATTAACCCTCTAGTATAGAGAAAATTGGAAAATAATGTCGGAAAAAAAGTCTTTATTTAAATATCTCATATGCGATTTATATTAGTCATTTTAACGTTTGTTCGACGACTTACGGATAAATTGGCAAATGCAGTGCTTCTGACACTTCGTATTCGACTTTTAAATGTAATTGTAGTTTACATAAAGAATTAGGTTTATAATTATTATGTATGTATCTACCATTATTTTGGTGTTATAAATTACTATTTGTATAATTCTTCTTTTTGCTACATAGCGTCGTTGCCAATAAAAAGTTATTCTTGGTAAATAAACGAATATCTAATTTAAATACTAATAAATATAGTGGTTGGTTAATAAATTAGAAAATCACGAAAATGCGTCATTAATTATTATTTTTATTTGATTTTGATAAAATGATAAACAGAAATATGTAGTGTATATATAAATTTTGAAATAATTAAAAAAAAAATTTATAAGCTTTTTTTGTCTTTAACAAAAAAAGCTTATGTAGATGTAGATAAATAAGTTTTGATGTGCTGCGACTACGTGCAAAGTAAATGCATACTACCTATTTTATTCCAAAATTTTTAAATATTTCAATATTGGTACTTTTCTCTTGCACCATATTTATTAGTGATGAAGAAACAAACATTTTGTAAGTTCTTCAAAATCGTATAGGCTGCCAGGGTAATACCAATGAGATGTTTTTAATGAACTGTAGCCACAGATCCCTTGCCGAATATAAAATTTGAATAACAAAGTGTTTGAACTAGTCCAACCAATTGACAAATTTTGGCCAAGGCCTCGGATTCATTCTGTAGATGAACTGCGCTGCTATATACAGTGTGAGTAAAGAGTATGGAAATACTTTATTCATTTTTTAAAAGTATTTAGTAGTTTATAAAATAAATTCCCTGGCATAACTTTTTTGATTTATTTTTTAAAATTAAATTGTTGTGAACTTAAACAAATTCGTTTTGATGTTAAACAATTTAAATTTTTACTGACTTTTCACGGTCTTGGTTTTCCTTAATCAAGTTAGAAACTCTTTTTTAGGTATTGGGTTATAACGGAGGCATATCATACAGAATGAAATCTCTTTTTTTAATCAGTGTATATTATATAATAAAAATACGGATGTTTAAAATTTTCTTTCTTTTAAATTTCCATGTTGCCATTAGCTTAATCAAAGTGATTCTTGTATAATATCGGTTATTTTAATTTATTTTTTGCATCGCTATTGTATGAATTTGTTAAAACCACAGTGCTTCTAATTTTTCGTCTTCTGGCGGCGCAACATCCATTGATAAGGTCGCCACACTTCTAGCAATAAACATGCACGTGTGACTCGTATATCCCTTATCAGGGTAACACATTAATATTTTATAGTTATTTATTTTGTTAAAGAGGAAATATTATTTAAATAGAAACGCTTTATAATTTTCATCGAAAAGAACTTACCTGTTCTAATGAAAAACACTCGAGGTTAACACGGATTACCTTCTTTTGATTTGTATTTTATATGGCAACAAGTTCAGATAAAACTGCTTATTCATGCAAATTGCTGAGTCTTTATTGACAATTTATCACTTTGCGGGTACCGATTACAGTTTATATAAAAAATGCAACAGAATCCAACGAATTAGGTGAGCTATAGTAAATAGATAGTGCGCCGTTTGAATAATGTAATGAATGTAGTCGATAATTTTGGGAAGCGTCGTTTATTATTCGAACGGATATGTGCCTTAATTAATTGAATGCTTTCGAATCCAGTTCTACAGGCTGGATTAAATGGAACAAAAGTTGAAAACCCGGTCTTGGTGACAGAAAATGGCTGCGTTTAATTATTCACAAAATTATGACGAACACAATAAGAGAGTCGAAAGGAAAAACGATAAACCTTCTAAGGTTGCCAGTTTGTCGTTTGCCAATATAAACGTTATAAACATACCTGTTACAAAAGATGTTCTTATAATTATTGTGTGTATATTTTGCAAATGTTTTATCGATTTCTTTTAACCAATTCAAAACTTTATATACCAACATGGGTTTAGACATTATTAATAATTGAAGGAAAATTAATTATATAACAACCTTATTTTTTTATTTCTCGCTTCGCTCGTGCCTAAATAAACTCGTGTCGTTTATAGAACTTGTTGCATGAATTTGATTAGCATAAACATTACTATTCATTTTTAAAACGGAAAGGCAGGAAGTGTTACTTTTCCCATGAATGAAATATTTAATGTAGACCTAATAAGTTATTGACAGAATGCTTACAATTCGGCAACTTGCATAAACAAACAATATGCATAGCGAATCGGCCGCCTTTACATGTTTTATATGTGGGGCGGATAATGGTCATTGATTCTAGCTTATGGTGCAGCATTTCTTATATGTGAAAACTGAGATGGATATGACCGTAAAAGGTTATACTACGCACTAACCTCACAAAGCGATTGCTCCGTCCTAGATTAACGCTAGATTATTGCTTTAAATCGCAAAATACTCGATAAAAATACGAAAAATCCCAACATTTTGATCGTCATTACTTAAACATTGAATTGAAATAAAAAGCAATGTTGACAATTTGACGTTGTAGAAAATAATGCTACTCTTAATTTTAATTAAATTAATTAATGTCTGAATATTTGTGTTATAGTCATTTCTCCCATTTTTTATAATATCGTTGGTTTTCTTGTTTGGTAAACGGCGACTCTCGAAGATAAAGGCTACCCATCGTTTTTTAGCATTTTTTCTCCGGAAATTTCACAAAGGAAACGTCGGATTCAAGAACTTCAATTCAATCACCTACCAGCAGTGCCTAAAATGGCATAAAAAGCTTGCTCTAGGGAAGTAATATCACAGCGGTTTTAGTTTTTGTTATTATCATTAAAATATGTCAAATTCTAAAAAACACGAAACCTTACTTCTATTTAACCATACTGTACATCTACCCCTTTCAAAGATCTTCACTATAGTGGATAAATTGGATGTATTTTGAGATGTTTTCTTCTATGTTACGATGAACACTTTACAATATGTCACTGTAAATTATTTGTAGGTAGTTGATTGGTGAGGTAATATTTACCGCACTTAAGACGTCATGAATATGAATATCATAAATTCTGACTGAAATTGGTCTTGTAAAGACATGTCAAAAAGTATAAATAACCGTTACAAATTGACTCGAAATTTATAATTAAAAGTTAATAATCAATTGTTTCAGAACAAACCGCGGCAGAAAACCACGAACCTCACGTCGTCATCCTCAGTTTCCAGAAGTATTGTCGCTACAGAGCGATGATGAAACGCTTAGAAGGCGTGGAAAATCTCTACCTCAAATACAAAATAGTAAATGCGCTTGGTGGATTCTACGTAAAGCATCACAACACTAGGGTAAGGCCGGTGCCGCCATTTTGTTACTTGAAAATCTCTAATCATGTACTGTGTTTTAGGTATTATTTTGCCGCGACACATTCGATTATCCGGAACTGGAAGGTCACGAGCTTCTATGCAATCATTTAGCGCCTAAATTAAAGGGAAGGCCTAGGGGAAAGCGGAAAAAGCGTAGCGTCTCGCCTGGTTCGGAGAGTAACGAATCCGAGTCTTCCATTACGAATCACTATACAAGGGTAATCGATTCGTTTTGTTCTTTTATCGATTTTCCATAAACCTTTATCAGTTCTAAATACAAAATTATCGTTGTTGTTAAGTTTATTACCAAAGTATATACAATGTGAGCCCAAATTTACTTATCTGATTCTTTTTTCATTTCCTTGACTTGTAGGGTTGTATTTTTAAATACATAGATGGTGTTCCAAATTGAAATTGTGAAACTAACCAAAACTATTTAATTTTTAAATCAATGCTAAATTTTGTTGTTTAATAAATTGATGATCACTCTGACATTTCAATCACTCTGTACAATAAATTAAATTACAATTACCAATAATAATTTAAACAATATTTTATAACATAAGTTTTAAGTATTATAATAGTTAAATATTTAAATGATACTTTATTATAGTACTCTGTATTTTGCAAATTATTTTTCCTGCTTACACTACTTAAATGTGGATTTGCCTAGGGTATAAATTATTGATGTTAGTAGATAACAAAAAAATTACCATTATATATTATAAGTTATACAAGATAGATCACTAGAGCGGTTGCATTATTCTCAACGACTCTTGTTGGAGATTTTCCACATTTATTTTCATTCGTATTAAAATCAGTCTATTTACTGGAAGGACAGTTGACATATAAAACTAAAAATGATATCTAATTCTCATTCATAGGTTTAAAAAAAGTTTCCAATATCCAAGAAGATAAGCGATTAATTTTTTGTTTATACTAATATATTTCCATATATTTGATAGAATATAGTAGCACCTGATTTATATTTAAGTTCAGACAACGTGAAAACTTTTCAACAACAAGTAATTGTGTCTAGCATACGAGGCTCTCAAAATGTTTTGATCCCTCATTTTTTGTTTTTCTCTGCCAAGCTCAGGATTTTATTGAACTAGGACCAGGTTATTTCTCTATTAAAATGACCAACAGCAAATTCCGATTCAGTTATTTTGATTAGACAAAATGCAATGCAGAGACAGCTATCGGTGTGTTTTTACAAAAAAATAAACTATAATTTTTATTTCGTTTTTTTTTAGGAGGTTTATTTTTTGAATGATTGATGTTGACAAACAGTTACAGCAGAGCAGAGCCGCAGAGTTAGAATTTTTTTTTTTCAAAAATCTTACAATTTATCATTTTATCATCCACAGCAATAAATATGATATATTTATTCTAAACAGATTTCGACCTGTTTCTGTGCTGTTTACAACTCTTACATTTTTCATACACGAGAGGTAATTTTTACAGACTTTTATCAAGTTTGGAATGAACATGTCAATGTCTGTTGGTGTTTAAATTCAAAAAGCGTTAAAATTAGTGAAAAAGGAATGTTTGAAATTTATACTGACAAAATGTATTTCAAAAAGTGCTAAATATATAAAATAACAGAATTTGCTTGTTTTTTAATACTTTTATAATAATGGTAGCAAAGGAGGAAAACTTTTTTTTAATGGTATTTCACTTCATGAAATAGTATAGAATATTATTTTTTTAATAGACCATTTTAAGAATAATCAGTAGATTTCCACAACGTTCTTTTCGTTCCAGTCATTGGAAAAGTCGAATGGTGCTCGTTCAGAATCGCCGATCGCCACCCGGCGGAGTGCTCGCAACCACGATAACAATGAAAACAAAGAGTTTATGAAAACTCTGACGGCTTTTATGAAATCCAAGCAAATCTCCATGGGCCGGGTCCCGTCCTTAGGATATAAGGAACGTAAGTTAACTTTGTATTCATAAGTTCTGGTAACCTAAGGACATTTGTTCCTGGAATTGTATTCATGATGTTGTAGAGGAACGTACCTAACTTACACGGGATGGCAGTACTATAAAATTAATAAACATTTTTTTTTGTTTTTGATAATAATTTCGAAACTATTGAATCAATTTAAATCAAGCTTAGTGTTCGTTCCCTTTCAAAACATTTTCTGAATTCACGATTTTATTTTTAACAAAGGTGCTGGTGATGCGTTGATCGATTTTTTTTCTCTTAGTAAATTTGCACGAGTTCTTTACAAAAGTTCAAAAACTCGGAGGCTACGATGCCGTTACGACGAATCGTCTATGGAAATCCATTTTCGATGATATGAGCGGTTTTCTAAACAGCACAAGCGCAGCTACTGTTGTCAGGCGACATTACGAGAGGTATTAAACATACGCATATTATATAAAAGCTTGCTCATAGAACAAAGTCCTAATCTTATAGATTTCTTCTTGCGTACGAACGGCACCTAAAAGGGGAAGAACACAAACCTCTTCCTGTATCTGAGAGAAGAAGACTGAAATCCAAACGAGAAAGTTCTAGCAACAGTAGCGTGAGCGATGCAGAATCAGTTACCGATGTTCCGATACCTTCCACTTCCGGAACGAATTCTCCACAAGCGAGTAGTGAAAATAAGGTATGCTTTAGTTAAGCTACTTATTATAATTTCTTAACATTTAAACTTTTCGTAGGAAACCAATACACTAGGAAAAACTTCCTCTTTGAGAAGTATTCGAGTGAAACCAGAGAGGCAAAAAGAAAAACAAGATGATAAAATTAAAGAGGCTCAAGATAGTAAGATAAATTCCGAACTTAAATTGGAGCCTAAAAGCAGTACCGATGATATACGACCCAACAACTCTCCCGCCGAAAGCGAACGGAAAGTTGAAGCAAAGTTGATTATGGAGGAATCTATAAAGTGTACAGAAGTAGAGCAGAAAATTGAGACCAAACCTGCCGTATCACTTCTCAACGAAGAATCGAGTACAAAGATTGAACCGGATAATCAGGATGAAAATAGGGTACAAATAGAAAGACAAACAACTGATAAAGACGCTAGTCCGTTGACATCGGCCGTTGCGCCAATAGTTCACAAGATTATAGCAGAAAAAACTCCATCACCTGTGGAAGGTAAAGAAAACATACCGATCATTAAAACTGGCGAAGCTGCTGTACCTACCAACACTCCTGAAGTGATGATGACCTCCTTCAAGTACAATGCCCCAGACGCGTCCAAAAAAGATTCGGAATTTTTCAAAAACCTGAACAGTTCCTTTATACGGGATCTAAAAAAAATTAAGCTGGACATCTTGAAGGAGGGAGGCTTGGAAGTCACTCCGATTAAAGCCGGAACGGGATCGTCTTCAATAAAAGAAATAAGACCATCGGTAATACAACCGACGGCTCAGAGTCCAGCTAAAACTTTGACTCCTCCTTCGCTGACTAGCGGCTCTTTTCCGAAAAGGATCCACGTGTCGATCACCCCAAGCGTAAACGTTACGCAAATTAAACCAGCTAATAGTACTCCCGTAAAACAGATCAAACCGGATAAGGCTTCGTTTGTAGATAGCACTACGCCACCCAAAGTAGTGCAGTCCAAGTCGATTTATTCATATTCGGAAAAAACGGTGTACGGGAATCCGAAAGATATTTTGCAACCTGCTTTGGTGCCTCGATTTTCGGGCGCAACAATCAAACATGGCGGGGGTGACCCCATCGATCTGTCAGTTACAAGCCCACAGAAACCCGTCGTGGAAATTATGAGAATTCAGCAATCGTCCATGTCTGCCATGAATTTTCCTCACAATCGCGAGACCGTAACAAAAAATTTGTATAAATCTGCAAAAGCGTCGTTACTCGACGGCAGACGACTAGGGTCCAATTTGGAAATTACTCTTGTAGGACCAAAATCGGCGGCGATGCAACCGCCAAAAGTACCAAGCAATTCTATGAGAGTTGCGACACAGAAACGCTCAACAAGTGATAATTATGCCAACAAGACTGCAAAACTTAGAACAGATCAAAGTGCTAAACAAGATAAGTATGGTGCGCCGTCGGTGTATAAAAACAGTGTAGAAGTGGGTGGCTATAGCTCCTTCAATAATAGCTTAAATTCAAGTGCTAAAAGCGAGATGAAATTATCCTCACAAACGCAGAAACCACTTATACCGCCCTTTCCACAGACAATGCCGCCGTACCTGGGACAGTTTCCCGAAAACGTTAATGGAGTCAATCCGTTTATACCTCTGATGGATTCTTTGTATTACCAAGCTGCACTCCAGAACGCGTATTCAAATATACCTAGTTTACCGCCTCCGATTCTACCCATTCCTACTCCAGACCAGTTGAAGCTTTATGCCGAGCTTATGGCTCACGGGAGGTTAAATTTTCCCTTCCAATCTCCCAAAGATGGTCATCCATCCGCAATAAACAATAACGGCAAGACCCAGTAAAACATATCAAAATGAGTTTCTGGTCTTTTTTGGTGTGGTTGTTGTTAAAAAATATAAGTTTGAGAATATTAAATGTATCTAATTCATATTTGAAACAACAGGTAACTTCTCTTGTTGGGTTGGAATGCATTTTTATTGAAAGATGCTGACTGAGAAAACTAAACTAGCCCGTTCCAAAAATGATATAAAAAGAAATTGTGCAATGATAGGAAATTTTAACTTTTAAAATCTAGATAGTGATCTATTAACTGGTGGGCTTGAATAATCAGTTTTATCGATATTTTAAGATTTCGGGCATATTTTATTGATTCAAAAGAATTCTTGGATTATTTTCATGTAGGACCAACAAGTAAGGATGTATTGGTTATATAAATTTGTTTTTGTTGTATTATCATACAAATAACCCAATGTTGTATATATAAAGGCCAGATTTAACTTAGTGTCTGTGATTTTATTATATATAAATGTAACATACCAAAATAGAGTTTGTATGTAATTCCTATTTTTGTTGATCGGTTCAGCAAGCTTAAGATTTTATAAGTTACACAGTGTAAATAACATTTATTTTATAATTTGACAATGTTTAAATGTTATATATAAATTGCCATTACAATAAATCATTACAAATTATATGCGTGCAAATCATTAATGGGTGATAATTATGAACTAACAAACGGCATTAAGAAAGTTTGGAATATAATGGGAATTTTGTTATTTTGATCCAATATAATTTTTATCATAATGAAAGAATCATAGATTCAATTTTATTTTTTGGAGGAATGAATAAAATTTTAGCATATAAATATTTAGCAGTTTTGGTTAGTTTAGTTTAGTTTAAAGTAAGTCAAAATCTTATGTGGTCGACGTTTTGGTAATTTTATTGCCTTCTAACCACTTCTAACCACTAAAGTATAAAAAAATACAAGGGACAAACAAAAATTGAAATTAACAATGGTTTTCCGCTTTAATATATGTACAGTAAAACCGTCGACCATTCACACACATTACGTAAAAGGCAACAAACATTTTAATTAAAAGGCTAAAAGAAAAAACGATTGATGCACTTATTTTGTTTATTTCTTAACAGATTTACCCTTTTTGCAAAGAGAATTCTTAAGGGATGTCAAAATAATTAACTTCTCCAACTGTCAATCTACGAGATTCCTGTGCTTCTATAATTATTTTTTAATACCGAAAAAGTCACTGTTAAATTTTTGGGTAGTAGAAAAATCTATATACCTGTTAGACAATGTAGAGGCCGTAAACGCAGTAAAATAGATTCACCTCAGGCGGCCATGACAATTTCGCACACTAACCTGTACTTTGCTCTATTTTTTTTAGCATTGATCTTCGTACAGTACGTTTCTTTTTACTGAAAATTTAATGGGATCTGGGTATTATTTTGACAAAATACTGAACTAACTAATAACTGTCGAATGTCAGCGATCATGTCCAACTCCGCAGGTTCTTATTGGTTGAAATCGAGGTTTGAAGTGACTAGCGCATGCACCAGCTGAAATCCCTCTTTGACGTTTTTTGATGTTAGTTTCAAAAGTTCTCGTATTTTCGGCATAGGTAAGTATTTATATAATAAAATTATAATAAATTGGTTGAAAATTTTGCAAACATTTATGATTCTTTCCCTGATACATTCCGCTAACACTCTGGACGAGATAACTAGTTGGATTCAGTATTATAGTAATATTTCAATTAACAAAATCTTGAGATTTTATTAATTGAATTCGCCAAAACGACACCACCTATTTGGGACACCCTGTGTAAGCTGAGGCGCATCTGTCAAACTGATTGAGTAGTGCAGCATATCGTTAGTCTGTGGTTAAATTTTTGTTGCAATTCCTGGATCAGTAGTATCACAACACAATTTTATATGGGGAAATGAAAATATGAAAAAAAAACATAACCTCAATTTCTGCCTAATCTATGCAAAATTCGAATAGGAATTTCTTAAGAAAGTGACCTTTATTTTAACCAAGGATTCCAAAAATGTCCATATATACAGGGTGTTTTATTTAAAATAACAACGTTGATGGGTCACCCTGTATCAATAAAATTATAATATTTTAAATCTTCAGGAGAGTCCAAGAAACTTTTGTACGATACTTTTTTCCTATGGGTTTCCAGATCGTATAGTGGGTCGCTTTATTTGGCACACGGTGTACATACTCTTAGATCCTTGGACGCATTTTCTAATAAATAGTTCTTTTTCTTAATTACTGGAAAAGGTTTTTTGGGTTTTAATGACAAAATTAAAAAAAAAATAGCTACCAGGAAAAACGCTGTATCTATTTCGTAAACTGATCTACTTAGTTCGCCGAAGCCCGTCTTACTACGCGCTCTTATCTTATTTAGCAACATAATATTTGTTGCTAGTATATAATAATCAAATTTATTATTTTAAAAGTTTCTGAGAATGAAATATACCTACACACATGTAAACAGTGATAAAGCGTGATATGCTAATATTTATTAAAACTAAGAACCCTCTTCTGGTAAAAAAATAACACTAACTACGTATATTGGAACCTTCGTTTCTATAATTTGTTAAATAATATTCTTGCTACATTTAAATTTGACTTCATTCTTTTATCCCGTTATATATATTTAATATCCCGGTTAGCAAGTATTCCTATAAAAGATCCTAATGGAATAATAAAAAGACATTCCCTTAAACACACCTATAATTATCCAAGCTGCTCTATTAAAAAAATATGTGATATAGACTAATATGCCAGGAAATTCATAGTATTTTGTTGTCTAATTTTGCTGTAACCGACATTCCAGGCGGGTGAAAAGAACACCATATGCTTTGCTCTCACAATATTTTTAATTTTAATTGCGACGGGATACGATTCGAGCCCTTCGAGCTTAAACACACACCTACATTTTGTTTTTTATTGTATATCTTGATATATGAAGATTTCAAACTCGACAATATACTACTAAACTAACTATATTACTATATAATATAATATAGTTAGTTTTGGTTAGTTCGAACCAGGATAACGTCTACCAATGACATTTCTACCTTTGATCTGCTGAATCTGCAATAAATGTACAAAATAGACCATAAAAATTGTAGTTTTTTATGCTAATAATAACAAAAAAAATATGGTAATGTTAAAATATTGTTTCTAATGCGTGTGCGCAAAGTAATTTTCTCGCACTTATTACTGCTGATTCGCAAAAAATACCATTGAAAAATTACTCCAAAGCAGAAAGTATGCAAATATTAATTTGTAGTTAAACGCTTAGATAGGTATATATTATATATATTATTATATGATTGCTTTTGAATGGGAACGATTACTCTAAATGTCATAAATTTACATACCAAATAATTGTCTGTCTCATTGTTAGGTATGTTCTGTTCATAGATATAAAAAAGTGACCAATTGCTTTTGAATGGGATTATCCAAGGGTGGTCATTAACATACAATGCAACAAGATTATTACCTAAAGTTTCGGAATTTAAATTCAGGTAACATTGTGGTCCGTAATAGAAAATAATTTTATACCTACCTGCGTTTAATATTCTTTGGTTTGGTATACTACTTAGTTTAAGTTTATTAGTAATTATTCTTATTTCGTGTGTAATACAGCGTCTGTTGAATTGTGTGCGAATTGTGCAAAATATGTGCGAGTCTAGTGTATCTCAGGAGATGCTCCCGCCCAAATGTAGAAAACACTATTCTATTGAGATTAAGGAAGTTATAAACAATGTTTATTGGCCTCTCATTGAACGTCGTGCCAGCAAGCAAGCATCTTTAGAAGAAACGGCCACATTGACGAAAATTCCAACATCAACTGTGTGGAAAATTGTGAATAATCCCATTTCAGCAAGGAAAAATAGAAGCGATGCTGATATTTTCTTGAGTGTAGATGAAAGTGATCAAAACATAATACGGCGTAAAATTTACCAGTTATACGAGGAACAAAGCATGCCTACATTAGATATCTTAACTAGGAGGCTCGAAAATGATGAAACCGGTGTTAAATGTGGCAGAACTAACTTATGGAAGTGTATTCAACACATGGGTTTTAGATTTAAAACAAAAGGCAAGTTTTAATGGAATCTTTTAGAATTCGGAAATGGAGACTGGAATATTTAGAAAAAATTAGGATTTACAGAGAACAACAAAGGCCAATTATTTACTTGGATGAAACCTGGTTCGACACTTAAGATACCCCCGAAAAGTTGACTCAACTGATAAGTGTAAAACAAACGCGCCATCAAAAAGAGGTAAAAAAATAACTATTTTACATGCTGGCTCTAAAGATAAATAATTTGTAATTTTATTTTAAATTTAAACATAAATACATACATAAATAAATAAATATTTTTAGTAAAATTTACAAAATATATATTCTCAAAAACAGCCTGGAAAATAAAAAGACAAAAAACATACCTGTTAATATTCAACGTTTTATCAAAATTTTTATTTTTTCCAAAGTTTAACGGTAAAACATATTTTATATAAAGATCAAACATGTTCCATAGGAAAATTTTTACTTTTAGAATATCCAAACGATGTATATTTAAGTAAATATTTTAATTTTCTTTTGGCATGTTATTTCATCAACAAAAATGTTCTCTAATCCAGAAGCTCTTTAAAACAACAGAAGATAGGGTTTCGACTGCAACGTTAACATTTTCTAAAGTTCTATTAAAGTCTAAACAACACGTCAAGGTTGCACGAAAGTTTTTTGGAATAAGTGCAAATCGCACATTTTTATTCTACCATAACATTGTTCCGGGATTAAATTAGCATATTTATGAGCACCCCCAAATCATGAAATAGGAATTACGTCCACAACTTTTTTCGTAACAGGATATTCGATTATAAGAATAAACACGAGCCTTAGTTTTCGGGCATTGAAAAAGTGCTCTTACCACTTTTGTTTTACTGTTGGAGAGCTATCTACACATTTAAAAAAACAAAAAGCATACAGTGCTTTGCACCCCGTCACGATTCTACCATAATTAAAGAACTATATATATCGAATGTTGGTAAGTGTTCTTCAAGTGTACGTAAAAGTGGGGATGAAGATCGGCAATGTTCCTCGCTCGGACGGAGGGTAGTTGACTTATCTTTAGGTAATGGTCAGTGCTGAAGCATATCTAATTAATAGTATATTATAGGACAACTTTGATAAACGGCACTTTATTTTAGTTCACGAGTTCACTTTAAAATAAACAGATCACAGAGAAGCGAGTGTGTAATAAATGGTTGTCAGACGTCGTTTATCAAGGTCTTGCACAGTATGCATTTTTTACTAGCAAAGTACCACAAACTTCGGAAGTGACTTGCCACAGTGGATAACGAGGCTGACGTCTGATCGGTGCATGATCGGGTTTTTTTACAGTAGAGAGTAAAAAATAGTATATTATGCAACAAGTGCTGTAACCAGCATTTGAATCAAGAGTTTATTTGACACGAGCGGAGCGCAGCGGAGCGAGTGTTTATCAAACGAGTGATTTAAAATGTTACCGAACGTGTTGCATACTATACTTTTTCCAAGACCGTTAGTTTTTGGATACAAACATTCGATTGCACCCAAACCCGTGCGGTAAAATCCCGGAAATGTCTGAATTGGCTCAAATCCGCGGGAAACGAAACGGACGTTATAAAGTGATGCTTCTCGTGCGCTAGATCGGTGCATAATTAGGTATTTTTTTCTACTCTCGTCTGTAAAATAACTAACTACACATCGCTCTAGCTTGCGGGTAGCGTCACTTTACCAACTCAGTTTATTTTCCCACGGATCCGATCCACTTCGGACATTTCCGGGATTTTACCGCACAGGTTTGGGAGCAATCGGATATTTTCGAAGATATTTCCCACGCGTTGAACTTTGACGTTTGTCAATTCTAACAGTCATGTCAGTGTGTTTTGCGAAAATGTACTCGAAAACTAACTGTCCTAGAAAAATGATAGTATTGGTATTGGTATTAAAGGGGGGCGTCCAAGCACTTAGGCCACTAGATGGGCCCGTTGTATACAACACGTTCGGTAAACGTTCGTTTATAAACTTGTGAGTCAAATGCCGTTTACCGCGCTTGTTGCGTAATACACTATTACAGACGGGAGTAGAAATAATACATTAAGCAACAAGTGCGGTAAACGGCATTTGACTCACGAGTTTATTTGACACGAGCGGAGCGAGTACGAACCTAACTGTTGCATACTATACTTTTTCTAGGATCGTCAGTTTTTGGGTACATTTGTGCAAAACAACACGAATAATTTCACTTACATGACTGTCAGAATTGACAATCGTCAAAATCCAAAGCGTGGGAAATATCTCCGAAAACATCCGATTGCTCCCAAACCCGTACGGTAAAATCCCGGAAATGTCCGAAGTGGCTCGGATTCGTGGGAAACGAAACTGACGTGGTAAAGTGACGCTTCCCGCACGCTAAATTGGTGCGTAATTGGGTATTTTACAGACGGCATTTTCCATCCCTTGCCTCAGAGTAAAGTGCGAATTACGGTTCTGGTTGAAGTGCCAATGAGTGTTAGCTGCAGAAGAAACACAAGATAAACGCTAACGCTTAACGCTTAAATAGAACTCTATTAGTATAGGTAGCTATAAAAAAAATAAAGTTAATGTCCATGGCTTTATTTTTGTATTTTTTTTAATTTTTGTTGCTAGTTTATAAAATTGTACAAAGCAGTGCAACAAAAAGCACTGCAGCTTTGCAAATGTTGGTGTTTAGCGAGAAAGGACGGGTGGTCCAGAAAGCAAGAAAACATGTTTTCGAACAAATGAAAAAGATGTTTTTAATTCAATTTTTGTTAGATTGATATAATATTCTAATATTAAAATTTCGTTTTATTTTTATATGTGCGTATTAATTTGCGGCAATTATTATATCGGATTCAAATATATTTATTATAATAAAAATTTCGTTTCTGAGAAAAAAAAAAGTCAAATCGTCCGTTAAACGTTATCCGCAACCGTTGAATTTCGCATAAGAGAAAAAGCTTTAAAAATTATTTTTACGCCAACCAAAAATAAATTTAAAACTTTTCGTCTACGTAGATTCATTCTTTAAAAATATCCGGGCGACATCTTCAAAAATTTCCATAACAATTATACGGCCCAAATTGAAATTTCTTTGTCACCGCGTCGTCTACGCCGCTGTTAAATTCATATCAGTTATATAAAATATAAAACAATTTCGTTACGAGATTCGCTGCAGTGTTTAGTTGAGTCGTTTCGTGTTTGGGTCGCGTACGACAAAGTTTTCCGCGAAGTGTCGCACAAATCGATTGTGGCGCGGAAAATCGTTTTTTTTTTTTGAATGACACGAGGTGGAAAAAATACGTCGTCATAAACACAATAATAGCGAGGGCGACACAAACCTTACCTAGATACATTATTGAAGGTCAGTATGAATAATTCCAATCTATTGATGTTTTAGATAAAGTTATCACGGTTTTGTGTCAGGAAAATGTGTTTTTCTAATTCATTAAAACCGAACAAAGTTGTTCCAATGTACTGAAAAACTTGAAAGTAACCATTGTATCTCGTACAGGCAATATTTTGTTTACTTAGGTGGGTTTATTTAACTATGAATCATATTAGCTTATAAAGATGGCAAAAATACTCTATTTTCGGTAAGAATTAAAACTTCGTGACCACTGAAATAGTAAGCACGTTCCTGGTTGTTTTTTGATTCCGTAGCAGTAAAACATGTTGCAGGAAATGCATTTTCGTATTAACTAGTATTCCTGTCTACGAAAGTCGCAGCATTAGTTTTGTTGTTAGGTGATATTACGCAATTTTGATTTTCTATCAGAAAATTGTAAATTGTATTCTGCAAGTTGTAATTTACACCAATTTTACGTTTTCCATTTAAATTATACATATACATGCGTATATGGCTGTGCAAATGATACGACAGGTTCTTTAATAAATTAGCTACCCACACTGCTGGGAAACAATCCTTTTAAATTGCTGGCTAGTAGACAGAGGCGGCCTTGAGTTTTAAATAATTATTTGCTCGCTTCATTTTTCCTCAATTTCATATCGGACAAAGCGGCTTTCGGAAAACGCGGGTTCTACGGTTTTTAATTTTGTCCGTTTTAGGTCATTGCAATCTATACATATCCGTAGCTGTTCAGAATGAACGGAATCGAAAATACGATGAGCGATCAATGCGTAATTTCCTCAGAGTTCAATTTGGAATTTGATCAAAAGAAATCTTACATTATTGTTCCAGTCACGTAAGTATTTCTAAAATAGTTAATTAGATCTCGCCGAAAGGCGGGTATGATTAAACCCAAAAAATCGCGGGATATGTTGCAATAAGTACACGAATACTTATCGGCCAATGCGCGGTAATTTTTTCCGGTTACACAGGGTGTCTCCAATGGTGAAACTTTAACTGTACTGTGCTAAACTTTACTGTTTCCGAAAGAAGCCCTATTTTCCTATACAATAAACGTAGAAAAAAAAAACCTTTTTATAATATCACTATATATATTATTACAAGAAAAAATAAAGGCACGCTACTGCTTTTTCAGAAAACAAAAATGATTTTTAAAATTTTAATAATTTATAATTTAGAGCGAATTTGACCAGTTGCCAAGGCGCGTGAACTATGTGAATTTTATTTTCCGAAAAAACGGTTCTTCAATAATATTCGGTTCAAAGACAGTACAAATATAAGGTTTCTTCTAGATGTAAGATACGGTGTTAGGGTTCGGGTTCACGTTTTCACACATGTTAAACAAACTACTGTTATTATTCATTTAAAGATGCGTGTAGTGTGTATAGTGAATAATGCGTAAAATAAAAACGTGGGTTCTTCAGAACCGTTTTACTATACTTCCTTTATTGAATTAAATTCCTTAATCTATTGAAAAGTTTTCCTTTTTTCTTTTCTTTCCTTTAAATTGAGGAAATAAATCTTATATATGTATTATAATTAATAATATTAAATATTATAAATAATACAGTTACCTGTTAATTGAAAATGACGTACAAAATAGCTAAAAAGAACACGACTGTACCTGCAGGGCCAAGTATACCATAATCCTGTATGATTCTAAACTTCTGCTGAAAAATAAATTTAAAATTAGGGATTATCAGCATTTAAATGTTTATTGTAAATTTATTGAATCAAATTGGTTGAATTTTTTTCAGTGTCGTGGAGTGCACATTAAATGACATGGACTCGGAACTCAAAATTAAAATAAAATCTTAACTATAACTAAACCTATACAACAAGGTACGTCAAAGAAATTGACAAACAAAGGTCTTAAATTTTCTAAAATAATTATGGCAACATTTCTAAGAGAAATCAAATATTAAAATGATTCATAGGGTTCTTTTATTTGATAATTATTCGAATTATTGAACAGTAATAAAAAAACCAGATTAATTTTTGATTTGAATGGCCCCAATACAGAAATATTGTCAGGAAGATAATTTGGTGGATAATCAAAAATTTTCAATATTGATTAATTTACCGCCATGAAAATAGTTACTATTGTGATAAAAAGTATTAACGACGAAGGCGTTATCTTTACTTCTTGTCCTTTAATTGCACATGTGTATTAAAAAGTTCTCTGTTTTCAATGTCTTAAAAACTAATTTCATAAATAAAATGTAAATTTATGAAACTTTTGGAAACATATAAAAGAGTGGAAATATATTTGTTCTCGTGTTGCTCTTAATGAACATATGGATACCCAAAGAGGTACCATTTGGACTTCTAACCCAATTTAGAAAAGCATTGGCTGCAAAAATTGGATTCTTTATTTTTAACTAATACGAAATCGTAAAAAATTAATATGACTTAATATCATATGTTTTCTGTGGAATACAAACAATGGTAACTATAGACGTTAATACTTATAATATCAACGTGAGTATTTTTTTATATAGTCTCAATCATTACTTATTAACCGGTAAACTAAAGTACTAAGCTTAAACCCACAACTAATACAACCTGCTGTACGTGGGTTTCGCTAACCAAGAATTACCAGCAAATGCGTTGTATTAGTTTTGGTTGTTCATTATGTACCGAATTATCAATTGACCCAGAAAATAACATTAAATATCACATAGTGGTCGTAGTCCATAAATGTTGGTACGATTTTTTAATTATATCAAATGTTATCTACAGATATCAATTGAGAGCTTATAATACATGCTTTTTAAAACAACCGGTTACGGTTCTTTAGTCGGGACAAACTGGTCGTTATGAGTTGACACGTTTAAATTTAGCTAAAAATTATATTGACGCTACGTACTTTGAATTTAAATTGAGACACTGTGGGATGTACGAATGCGACATAATAGATAGGTATTAAAACAATTTGCTGGACGTTTCACATGCGTCTAAAGTTAAGCTAAGACTTGCCTGTACAGGTCGAGACACGCGAGTAAGTGCGAATGTATGTGTCAAAACTCAAGGCGCGTTCAGTTCCAAGCGCGGCTCGAAGCGAATCAGATTGTGTCTGATTTTTAGAGCAAGTGCGAAGGCCAACTTCATTTTTCGCACAGCAGCAGGCCCCACCAACTGGTGATGCTCGAGGTTTAGTGTGTGGCCGCAATTCGTTTCGCACTTGCTCGCGGACTTACCTGGACATACTTGCGCGCGGACTTGCCTGCATGTGTATAGCCCCCAATACGCTACGTCGACAGTAAACCGAAATTAATAAAAATTTTCCTTCGCTTGTCCTAGATACAATTACACATTGTAGTATCGTAGTATCATCATGTTCTCGATCACTACGTTTATAGCAAAAAACGAGTTTTTTTCGCTTTTTGTCTCCTCCGAACGCCGGCTAACCAGGCCTGTGAATCATTCCGTTTTGCCGTGTTCTTGTAAATCGACTTAAATGTTCAAAGTTCGGGAGAACGTTTTTAAAAACATTTATTTATGGAATAATTAATATTACAATATTACAATATTACAATATTACAATATTACAATATTACAATCGAATAAATACGGTTTTTGATGCGGTGTTAGCGATGTGTTATCTTCGCTTAACTTTGGACTTCGTCTGCAGTTTAGGACATATAACTCCTCCCTCCTTAACTTTCGAAAATAACGGAGTGTTTTTTCGAAAAAGCTTCAACATTTTCTCCCTGGCAGGTTTCCTCTTTGGATGGGATTCTCGTACCTTTTCGAATAAGAGCTTCTTAATGATGAAAACGAAAATTAGAACCATGGTTATTCCAAAAACACTAACAATTATTTGGAACCTATTTGTTTCTTCTTTCACTGGTTCCATGGGACTTATTTTTTCTACTAGATGGTTCAGCTGGTATATTTCGTCTATATTTATTTTTGAAAGATTCGGGGTATCCAGGACTTTCATTGCTTTCATTTCTGTCAATTGGAAAAATATTGGTTTTCTGAACTGGATTTTCACATCGTTGAAGAATTTTTCTTCATTAATTTCTATTTGACAGTTTACTGGTATCTTGATCAGTACTGGTACTTCGATTTGCATATATCGATCCGTGTTACACTTGATTAGTAATTTTTCAGGCTTCTGTGGCAAAATAAGTACTAAATTTTGAGTGATTTGTTCTATAATTGCTTCTGACAGGTTCATTTTCATAATTGACTAGTTTTCCATTCCGATGTCGTCAAATAAGTTCTCCACGCATACGTCTCGGGGGTGAGTTACTTCTGTACAAAAGTAGATTTCTCCGATGACGGGACATGTTTCTGCGGTAAATTGTCTCTTCTTCTCCGCTTGTGCCATCTAAGGGTATTGGTATTGGTATTGGTATTAAAGGGGGCGCCCTCGCGGGCGTCCAAGCACTTAGGCCACCAGATGGGCCCGTTGTGCCCCCAGGCCGCTCTAGAGGGCGTCCAGAATGCCGCCCCTCCTATAGAAGGTCAGCAACTCCTTTAGCCCAATACCGTGCACTGAGTCCGGATCGATCAGGGCCGTTCCGAAGACTCCCAATCTTGCCCATGTCAAGGTAGGGCACTTGGTGAGCAGATGATACGGGATCTCCTCCCCTTATATGCACCACTTACACTCCGGGTCGTCTCCAATGCCTAGCAAGCAAAGATGCCTCCTAAACCTGCAATGTCCTGTGTAGGCCCCTGTTGGTGCTCTACACTCCCTTCTGGTCAGTCTAAGCAGCTCCCTGGTCCAAGGAACGGCGGGCCCATCCATCGTAAACCTCGCCTGCTTCATTCCCGGAGCAACTCTCCAGCCCCCCGCGGCCCGGTCTCTCGCCCAGGCTTCGAGAGCTCCCCGCCTCACACACGAGGCGATCCCCAAGCGGGGCTCTGGCCCTATATGCCTATGCGAGGAGCCCTCTCTTGCTAATTCGTCCGCTGCCTCATTGCCCCGGATACCGGTGTGACCCGGGACCCAGTCCAACGTGACCTTTCTCTCCTCAGCCACCCTCCTCAGTACCCCTTTGCACTCCTTTATCAACAGGGAGCGCGTACGCACTGACTTCAGCGCCATGAGTGCAGCCCTACTATCCGAGCAGAAGAAGACTCTCCTGCTTCCGTGGTTGAGCCGAAGCACCTCTCTGGCCGCCATCAATAAAGCGAAAATTTCCGCCTGAAACATAGTGCAGCACTGACCCAGAGGGACCGACAAGCTCGATCCCGTTGTCTCACAGTACGCTCCAGCTCCGGCCAGATCTCCCATTCTGGACCCGTCCGTGTACCAGACAAGTCCATCCTAGGAGCCGACTCTGCCCTCTCTCCAATCTTCCCTTGATGGAAAGAGAAAGGTCAATTTGTCAAAGAAGGTCATCTCGGGGATCATGACGTCACTCGGCATGCCCATGACCCCGCGATCCCCGCGACAGCCCTCTAAAATGTCGTACGGACCCCGATTGAAGGTTCCCTCCCTCCAGAGCCCGCAGCTCGCCAGCCTCACAGCTGTCCTGGCCGCCTCCATCTGCACCCGATCCGCCAGAGAGGGCAACCCCAACAGAGCCTCTAGGGCCCTCGTGGGCCATGTACTCCGGGGGTATAAAAATTGATTGATTTTGGATTATTGGGAAAATATGGTAAAAGGAAAATATTTCGGATCTGAAAATTGGTACATGGACTGCAAAGATCACTTTCGAGTCAACAAAATTTACCTGAGTTCCTAAAATTTGATAAGAAGATAAAATGTTTTTAAATCGGGGAATTGGATTTTTTTTTTTTATAAATTGATGCTAAATATTTAAGCATTTTATTCAAATCCGAAGTCGGTAAAATACTATTATAAAGCGCATTAAC